CCCTGCTTGAGAGCCTCAGAACCCACCCCGCATTAAGGAAAATCTCTGTTGATTGAATTCTATAAATCCAGGACCAGAATAGTGAAGTGTCCAGAGTAAGTACTTCATATTCTTGAGGAATGCATGAGAAACCCAGTTACCTTGACTTCACATAATGGCAGCATGGCACTCCAGAGACCATATGGAGTGCTGAGGATTGAACCCGAGTCAGCTGCACACTAAGCAAGTGCCTTAACCCTTGTACTATCTTCCGATTCTGATAAAATACTTTTTAATAGGGCCAGAGAGATACTACAGTGGTTAAAGCACTTGCCTTTCATGCAGCTGACTCTGGTTCAATCCCAAGAATCACGTGTGGTCTCCCTGAGAACTGCTGGGTGTAGTCCCAGAGCACCTCTGGGCATGGCCCAAAACACCCCAAAATGTTTTTAAGAGAAAAGAAATCAATATCAAGATTAAATAAAAATACACAGTGAACATATAAATCAATAGTGATTTTTTCCCTCTTTACCCAATAGGTTTTTTGGATCTGCTTGTTGAAAAGATCTAGAAGCAATAGCCAACTTTTCCCTGAAGAAATAGTTATTCCTGGTCTAGGGCCAAAATTTGTTAAAAGAAGAACCCGGGGCAAATTGTCAAGCTAGAAATCAAGGGAGCCACAAGCTGTGGAGAAAATTCTGCCCACAAAAACAAGTTGTTGCCACTAATTCCTCTGCTTCCTTCCTACATCTCTGGCTGTCTCTCCTCAAACTACTTCCTGGTTTATCTTCCTCTTATTCCTGATACTTAAGGCCTAGAGAACCTACCGCTCTGTCCTATGCCCTGGTGATCTCTTATATTTACACATAACAACCACTGATGCTTTCTAACGCAGTTGTTTCCAACACGTCCTCTCCTCCAGCTCTGAGAAGCGCATCTTCAGTATTTGCATGTGAATGTTCTGTGGGAATCTCAAATCCAGCAAGTATTAACCCATTATCAATAAAGTGTGGTTCTTCATGATCTTTTTGTCAGAAATTGGTACTACTAATCACCCGTTTTTACTTCCTAGAAACTTGGAAGTCATTGTTGACTCATCCTTCTTCTCTACCCCATACAGTGAATCAGTTGTCTCCTATCAATTTCATCTCCTGCATATTGCCAAAACTCATTCTCCTCTCTCCATCTCTGCAGCTACCAGCTCTGGACCATGGCATCACCATCTCTTGCTCAAACAACTTTGATACCTGCTTAATGTTTCTTCTTCCAATTCCTTCTTCATGAATGCAATAAGTGTCTTTTAAATATATATATCAAATTACAGAGCTTTCTATTTAAAACATTTTAGTCATAATTTAGGTCATATGTTTATGATAGTATTGATACTTATGTGTTTGATGTACATAGCTTCACCTCACTACCTCCAAAATGCCCAAGACCTTTCACCAATATCCCCACCTCGCCAGTCTCAGCCATAGTGTTTCTTCCCCCCAAATTCCCTCTATTTTTCATCTAACATATTATATCTCCTATGCTTCCCCACTATAGCAAGCAGGCAGGTTCATAGCAGTTCATCATCTTTTGGGCAAAGATGAACTGCTTTGTTAATTCCTGTTCTATTAATTCCCTAACTGAACCATCTTCTCAGGTAACTAACCCCACAGGTGAGACTCCACCATCCAGGATTTGACTCAACATCTCCTATATCTAACATTATCATTTTTCTAACATAAGTAATTTTTTATTGGAACACCAAGTGAACCCAAGAAATTGAAGGAAGATTTATCACTTAGCATGTTAAGACACATAGCCAAGACTGACTGTAAATCCTGATAAAGCTTTCTCTCGCCTTTGTCCTCAAACTAACCCCGTCTCTATTTCCTTGGTGAAAATATAAGTTTGTTACCCTTCCTTATCCATTTTTATTTTTTTGGGTTGAAGGAAATCTCTTACCTTCTTAGGTATTTTTTTATGTAGGAGTACTGCTATTTATTCAGCCACTGATTAGCTGATTGAGTTGTACATGAACTACACCTTACTTTTTTCAATTTTTATAATTTTATTTATTGAATCACCATGAGAGCAGTTACAAAGCTTTCAGGTCTAAGTCTCGGTCATACAACGAAACACCTGTACCTTCACCAGTGCCCATTCTCCACCACCAAAAACTCCAGTATACCCCCATCCCACACCCTCCCCCTCCCTGTGGGGTGGGTGATTTCCACATTACTCTCTCTCTACTTTGATCACATTCAATATTTCGACACCAGACCCATCATTATTATTTGAGATTTTAACCCAACACTCAGATCTGCTGAAGAGGCAACAGTAGACAATTTGTATTCTATTGCTGGTTATGAATAACATATGATGTTGCGTGGCTGCAGTAGGGCCATGTGATTTTGAAATTCCGAAATTTTAACACTTAAATCTGGAGGGATTTCTGCCAACAGCCACTGGGTTTCGAGATTTGCTCCTGAGTCTCTGGGATCATGGCCGTTGAGCAGCTTGATCAGAGAGGCCGTACGTGGGCGATGACTTGGGGTCTCGTTGGGACAGGGAGACCAGGATGGGCTCCACCCCCATTCTGTGAGGTCCAACAAGTTTCATCACTGCGGGCCCAGACCTGACTGTCCAATGGCCTCTGGCGGATGACAGCCACGGAGCCGCCAAGGGGGAGCAGGTAGAGGGACAACACCCTTTCCTCCCTGGGGTGGCCCGGCGACAGTAACCTACTGCGAGGTCTTAGGTATTTTTTGCTATGAGACAAGAAGGTTGAATCTCTCTAACACATGTGCTTGGTCCTCATGTCTTTGGCTGATTACTTCCAGACCTCCCAGAGCCCACTCCCGGAGGCAGTTTCCTGGTGCTCACTCTTACTCACACCCCTCTTTCTGATCCCTCTGCCTTTTCTTGGAGGCCTTGTGATTCTCCAGTCACTTCTGCAAAGCCTGAGCTCCCTGACCCAGAAATAACCAAGTGCTGATGAAACAGGGGGCGAGGGTACTGCAGACACCTCAGGGGCCAAATCACTCTTCCTCTGGGCAATCTTTTGTTTTGTAAAACTTTAATGAAGCCTCTGCCCTTTCCTGTGTACTCCCACTATGGACACTTTTTTCCCTAAAAAAAAAGGGAAAAAATGTGGGGCAGGAGCAATAGTATAGCAGGTAGGGTGATTGCCTTGCACAAGGCCAGCCAGGTTGGATTCCCAGCATCTCATATGATTCCCCAAGGACCTCCAGGAGTGATTCCTGAGTGCAGAGCCAAGAGTAATCCCTGAGCACTGCCAGGTGTGACCCCAAAGGCCAAAAAAAAAAAAAAAATCAAAACCCATATTCATCCTCAAATGTCCATGAAGATTTTTATTACTTTCTGTGCTCATAAAAGTTGGAAACCACTTGAGCTTACAAATATAGGATGATTAATAAGTTCTTGGACATGAAGAGGCATACAATGCCATCACTAAAAAGAAAGGCAGATCAAAAACTTCTATCATGGCACAGAGGGTAGGGCATTTGCCTTGCACACGACTGACCTGGTCGGCCCAGGTTCGATTCCTCCGCCCCTCTCGGACAGCCTGGCAAGCTACTGGGGGTATTTTGCCCGCATGGCAAAACCTAGCAAGCTACCCATGACATATTCGATATGCCAAACACAGTAACAACAAGTTGCACAATGGAGACGTTACTGGGCCTGCTCGAGCAAATCGATGAACAACGGGAGGACAATGACAGTGAAAAAGGCAATCTTCTGGAATATTTAATCTCAGTTTTAAAAAATAATAATTTTGCATGAACGATCACTTTCACTGTCACTGTCCTCCCGTTGTTCATCAATTTTCTCGAGCAGGTGCAGTAACGTCTCCATCTTGAGACTTTGTTGTTACTGTGTTTGGCATATGAACGATATTTTCTAATTTTTATATTGAAACTCTGACAGCATGGGACCATGCTGACCAGAAAGGATGTGTCCCAGGGCTGGCTCGTGAATTTCATAGGCAAACTGTGATCAATCCATGGTCAATAACCAAAGACCACGCCCTTTAATATCTTTAACACTAGAACCACTACATATCCCCATCTTGAATAACTGAAACTTTTTTTTTGCTCTTTGGGTCACACCCAGCAATGCTCAGGGGTTACTTCTGGCTCATGCACTCAGGAATTGCTCCTGGCGGTACTCGGGGGACCATATGGGATGCTGGGAATTGAACCTGTGTCAGCCATGTTGGCTGCGTGCAAGGCAAATGCCCTACCCGCTGTGCTATCGCTCCAGCCCCTAAATGAAACTTTTTTAAGCCTATATTTTGAGTAACATCCTTTGTAAAAGTGTGTGTAATAGGGAGTTGGGGAAGAGCCCAGAGTTTTGTCTCTCTTCTGATGTGGCAGGAGCTGAGCAGTGGAGTACAGCGCTCCATCCCCAGAACAGGTACCCAATCAGAATGGAGAACAGGATGGCTTTGGTGGGATTTGGCAGCAGAGAAAAGGAAGCCCCCAGGCCCGTGCCCCCTCTCCTCTCTCTGTCTCTGTCTCTATCTCTCTCTCCTCATAGGCCTAGAGTTCCATGGAGACTGAGGAAAGTGTACATGGGATAGAGAAGCGTAGGACAGGATTTGGACATGGGAAGTCATTCAAGGGACCAAGCAGCATCAGGAACAGAACCTGGTCATCATTCATGGGTAAAACGATGAGGCCTGGGCATTTGGGGAGGGTCCCAGACCCATCAACTTATCTGTACAATAAACTCTCACCTTTAATCTTCCGAGTTTTGTATAAAAATCTTTCACACAGTTCTCAACAACCCGCCAACGCAGGAAAATATGCTTTTGCGCTAACACTACCAAGCACTTGGGAAAGTTTCTATCTGTTGAAAACCAACTTCCCAACTTCGGCCTAGCCCCTGGCTGCACTGAGTTTATTTCAGATACTTTGTAAGGGGAGGAAATCAAGATTTCCTTGGCTACGATACTGTTTCTGATTGGGTTTGAAGGTAAAAAAAAACTTCAAAGACAGATTAACAGAAGAAAAGCATATAAATTTATTCAAGCTAAGACTGACTGATACAGGAGACTTCATAAGGAAATGAAGCCCAAAAGACAGTGAGATCTGAGACTATGATGATAAGTTGGATGAGTAGAAAGTGGTGAGAGAAAATGATGACTGTGGACTATGAGGTAAGTGCTGTCTACTGGAGATCCTCTGAGGTTGGTCTGTTGGGATTTTTCTGCATATCCTTTTGTCTTCAGAAGGAGGATGCTCCTTTCTGCTGGGGAAAGGAGAGGCACTTCTCACATGAGGGAGTCGCCACCATCCGTTTCAGAGAAGAAGTAAGGAGGAGAGAAGCCACAGTGATCTTCCTGCTTCCACAGTCTCAAATTCCTTCGTGCAAGATGCCATTTTTTGCAGTGCTGTTCTGAACTTCATCAACCCAGGTAAATCCTGGCATATTTATTCTTCTGTGATCCACAGAATTCCAAAGGTAAGAATGCAGGCAGAACACAACACCAAGTAGTGTTTTTTTTTTTTCTGCTATTGTTGTTTTCAACATAGAAACATTGCAAAATGTGGGAAGTCCATAGATGATCAAAGGTCAAATTAACATTCAAAACAGACTTCATTCAATTTAAAGTCATCCATTTCTCTCAGGAGAATCGTTTTTCATCTGTGACTTCTTCTGGAAGCACTTGACAATAAACTGTTCTCACCTACTCATTTCCTTAGAAGATAAGGTACGGTGACAGAGCTCTTCCTGTTATATAAGAAGTTGTGGGTTAAGGCCCGAGGCTTGATCTGACCCTGGTCCAATGATCTGGAGTGATTCAAGTCAGGACAGAAGTTTAGAGAGGGTTCAGGCAAACCTGGACTTGAACGGCAGATGTCAGTTACTCACTTTACCAAAAAACACACTGATCTTCCTTCACAGGATGCTTCACGGGTTACAAAGTTTAATGAGGAAGGAGCTAGGTTTGTTCATAAAGTCACTGAGTTCTTTCACTTTATTCAGAGTCTCTCCTCAAGAACGTCACTTTCTAAAAATAGCAACTGTAATAGAAAAATCTTTTTATTTAATTAAATTTAATTAATTGAATTTAACTCAAACACTGATTTTTTTTACATTCCCATGATAAGTAAACAACAAATCATCAGACTAGATTTACAAACTCCAAAAGGTTGGTCAACTTCACAGTCAGTGACAAGGACTTCCTGTTTTTTCCTTCTGTCATTCCCCTCACCTCTGGGCTCCATGATGCCTAAAATAAATTCTGAGACATCCTCTGCCCTTGGTCTGTCTTATCCTGCAAAGATGCTGGGCCCATCTCACTATTACTCTGAGGACACAAGTGTGACCTGCCAAATCTCCACCAGGGAGTGAAGAGATGACACCGTACCCCAGAGCAGGTCTTGACAGGGACAAGAGGCTCCAGGCCCTAGAAAATTCACCCCATACAAAGAATTCGAATAAATCCCTAGCCAGGATATTAATCTGATACAAGTGACAGTTATTGCCAAATGCCTGCCAGAAAAATATTACATATTATAAATGTTAATGACTTGAAACCATCTTCTACTAGAAATAGCATGCCCTTCCCCTCTGCTCCACACCCCCCATCCCAAAGAAAAGTGTCAAAGTTCAGCAAACCTTTCAAAATATGGGTGAATTTATTCTCCTACGTGTTCGTGTTTAACCCAAATTTCTGATCCTGGTCATGTACTTCTCCGGGTTGGCAGCGCTCATGACTGTCGTATAAATTGTGAAGCTGAAAATAATGAGACACACAAAAAAAATTTTTACAGGCATATTTTTATATTCACATCCCCTGATTCAAGCGACTTAATATAAACACGTTGGAGGGGTCAGATGCTGGTTTTGCACAGTCAACCCTGATTCTTGCCCCTGCACCTCACATAGAACCCTGAGTACCCAGAGTGCTCCCTAGGCAGAGTCAGGAGTGAGCCCTGAGCAACAGCGAGGGGAGCCCCACTCACCAAGGAAACAAACATAAAGACGAGGCTGGGGAGCTGGTCAACGAGCTGGGGCTTCAGCTTTGCATGCGGTTAGCTCCTGGGACAATTCCCAGCACCTCATAGACCCCTGGCACTGCCCAGTGTGGCCGCTGAGCTGAGAGCTGGAGCAGCTCCAGAGCACTGGTCAGGGGTGGCACTCAAGAGCCCAAACCAAAAGGAATACATACACATGTGTGTGTGCTTGCAGTGATAGTGACAGGAAGCCAACCTCAGCCCTCAATCCCTGCTCTGCTCTCTGTAGACTTCGCATCCGGGCCCCACGCCCAGCAACTAGCAACCCCGAGGCAGCCAACGGAGCCAGGCTGAACTCGGTGGTCCCACTGGCAAGTGGGCTGCATGGGCCTGCAAGCGGGCTTGGTGCTGGTTAGCCTGTGAGTTCCAATGTCGCTGGTCCAGTGAAGTCTTTACATATAGGCAGTGTCAGAGACGGTCCTGAGCGGCCACTGCAGCCCAGCGAGGGGGCCCCCTGCCCGAATCCAGGGAACAGTACAAAATCATTTGCTCAGCATTCTGCAGAGTAAAAGACCTGAAGAACTTTGAGTCCAAACACACACACACACACACACACACACACACACACACACACACACACACTATTCTGAACGCCAGTGGCACTGCCCCTGGCAGAATCATCCACCAGCTGTTGAAAGCACATGAACATATGCAGAGTTTTCCCACGGATTAGGGGATTTCCTAGAATAGGATCTCAACTGATTATCTGCTTTAAGCATAATTCTACTCTCCATTGCTCTTGTTTTATTTTTTTGCATAGCACAAGGAGGCAGCATAAAGTACACTGCTTCAGATTGAGTTGTATGTCGGAAACTGATCTGGAGCTCTGAACTCACTATTTGTAGTATAGATCTGAGCTCACTTTTGTTAGTCCCTTCATTTGAAGCTGCCATCAGGTGCAAAGGGCCGGAGACCCTAGGATCTTTGGGAATTCTGACCCAGTGGTGACAGACAATTAAATGCAATTCCTCATACAATTTCATACAACAGAGAAACATGCTATGTGGTAAATTCTAATTCCCAAAAGTTCTATCTGTGCAAAACATTCCAGATGTCATTCAAACACTATTTTAGATGGACTTAATTCATAACTTTTACTCACTGACCCTCTTTATGGGAACTTAAAGGAAACCCCCCTGAAAGCAGCGAAGGTAGAAAGAGGAGTACACAGATACCTATGTCATGGTGTTGGGGGTGTTTCCCCCAGCGCCGGGGGCAGAATACAGGGCTTCCCCATAGCATGCTTGTCAGTCCTCTGATTCATCCTCCTGGTCGCTTTACTTCTGAGTGCAATTTTAAATCTTGGGTCCATATCTGGCAGTGTTTAGGGGTCACTCCCACCAGTGCTTGCTGGAGGGGGGCATGAGGTGCCAGGAAATGAACTCTGGCCTCCTCATGCAAAGCACATGCTCCAGCCCCTTGAGCTAACTCTCCGGCACTAGTTCAAACTATCAGCAGAGGAAAAGCTGGAGAATGTGTGACTCAATCACACTTGATTCAACTAACCATAATGTAGGTAGTTAAAATTATAAGGACTATCCACTGCATGGGGCAATTATTAAAATAAATAACCATTTATGTTCACCCTTAATATAGTTAATTTAAAAATTGTAAGAAACAGGGGCTAGAGGAATAGTACAGTTGATAGGGTGTTTGTCTTGCACACATTGATCTGGGTTCAATCCACAGCACCCCATATGATTGCCTGCATACTAACAGTCGTGATCACTGAGTGCAGAACCAGAAGTAAGTCCTGAGCACAGACGGGTGTAGCCAAAGCAACAGGAACAGGGGCTGGAGTGATACTACGGCGGGTAGGGCGGTAGGGCACGCAGCAGACCCGGGTTTGATTCCCAGCATCCCATATGGTCCCCCAAGCACCGCTAGGAGTAATTCCTGAGTGCAGAGCCAAGAGTAGTCCCTGAGGATTGCTGGGTGTGACCAAAAAAGAAAAAAAAAAGAAAAGAAAAGAAACAGGAACAGGAACAGGTTCTTTAACACTGACATACAAGACCTATAAGAAATAGGAATAGGTCCTTTAACTTGGCATATATGTCCTATTAGAATAGGAATAGGTCCTTTAACCATGACATATAAGACCTATTAGAATAAAAATAGGTCCTCTATACCATCTCACACCTCAGAGACTGGGCCACATTCAAAAGAACAAAAGCAACCCATGCTGGCGTGGATATGGCGAGAAAGGGACACTCCTTCACTGTTGGTGGGAATGTTGACTAGTTCAGCCCTTCTGGAAAACAGTATGGACGATTCTCAAAAAATTAGAAATTGAGCTCCCATTTGACCCAGCAATACCACTCCTGGGAATATATCCCAGAGAGGCAAAAATGTATAGTTGAAGTGACCTCTGCACTTGTTTGTTCATTGCAGCACTCTTTACAATAGCCAGAAACTGGAAGAAACCTGAATGCCCAAGAACAGATGACTGGTTAAAGAAACTTTGGTATATCTACACAATGGAGTACTATGTAGCTGTTAGAAAAGATGAAGTCATGAAATTTATATACAAGTGGTACAACATGGAAGGTATCATGCTAAGCGAAATGAGTCAGAGAGGGATAGACATAGAAAGATTGCATTCATCTGGGGAATATAAAGTAACAAAATATGAGATTAATACCCAAGAATAACTGAGATCAGCACCAGGAGGATTACTCCATAGCTTAGAGGCCAGCCGGGCATTCTAGGGGAAAGGGCAGCTCAGGTAGAGAAGGGAGCACCAAATAAAGGGTGTTTGGAGGATCCTCCCAGGAGGGGAGATGCATGTCTAAAGTAGACTATGGACTGAACATGTTTGCCACTCAATGCCTCTTTTGCAGACCACAACACCCAAAAGGAGAGAGAGAACACAAGGGATTGCAAGGGGGAATACAAGGGGGGATGGGGGGGATAGGGGTGGGGGGGATATTATCCATGGTGGTGGAAAATGGGCACTGGTGGAGGGATGGGTATTTGATCATTGTATAATTGAAACCCAAGCACAAAAAATTGTAAATCTACAACTGCACCTCATGATGTTTCACTAATAATAATAATAAAAAAAAATAGGTCCTCTAACCCCAACATAAAAGACTGATAAGAAATAGGAATAGGTCCTTTAATCCTGACATATAAAACCTATAAGAATAGGAATAGGTCCTTTAACCCCAACATGTAAGACCAATAAGAAATAGGAATATGGGGCTGAAGCGATAGCACAGTGGCTACGGCATTTGTTTTGCATGCAGCCGACCCGGGTTCAATTCCCAGCATCCCATATGGTCCCCCAAGCACCACCAGGGGTAATTCCTGAGTGCAGAGCCAGGAGTAATCCCTGAGTATTGCCGAGTGTGACCCAAAAAGACAAAAAAAAGTAATAGGAATAGGTCCTTTAACCCCAACATATAAGCTCTATAAGAATAGGAATAGATCTTTAACTCCACCATCTGAGCCCCGTAAGGACAGGAATAGGTCTTTAACCTGCCATCAGAGCCCTGTAAAGACAGAAATAGGTCCTTAACCCCTGCATGCATATGCTTCTGTAATAGGAGTTTCCTTAGCAGTGTGGGTCACCAGGTGCAAGTGACAGAATGCAGGGTCCTATGAACTCAAGGACACTCTCTGTCCCTCTCAACTATCTCCTTGTCCCCTTTTGGCCCTGTTTTCACTTATTCTTATTTTGAAAGGCTTCCCACAGATTTCTCAGGAGGCCTGGGGGTCATTTCCAGTGACATTTAAAACCTATGTTTTAACCAGTATAGATTGTGCTACCTCCTATTTTTATTTGTGTGGGGGGCACACCCAGTAGTGTTTGGGGCTCATTCCCTGCCAGTGCCTAGTAAACCTGTCATGCTGGGTATCAAACCCGGGCCCCTGGCATGCAAAACATACACTGGGCTGTCTTTCTGGCCCTCTACCAACCTTTCATTCTTTCTTTCTTTCTTTCTTTATTTATTTATTTTTGCCACACCAGTGGTGCTCAGGACTTGCTCCTGACTCTGTGCTCAGGTACCATTCCTGGCACTGCTCGGGGACCCTATGTGGTACCAGGGCTCCAACATACTTTGTCTAGGTACAGGGCAAGTGCCTTTACCTGTTGTTCTATCTCTCCAGCCCTGGCCTCTTCATGTTGGTGTCTCTGTCATGCGTGTCTTACCTGCTGTAGGATATCTTTGTTTATTGGTTCCTCCTGCCTCCTCTCCACTCACCCCATTGCAACAAAGGTCCCAAGAGAGCAGAACTTTGTTTTGTTTACTGCTACAAAGTCCCCAGATCCCAGCTGGGCCAGAGCATGTGGGAGTTCACTGTTCTGGGGTGATGGAGGAATTGGTGCGTTTCATAGGTCACTTACTTGTTACAAACTGGAACCACAGACAAAACCTGCCAAGGGAAAAATTGTATTACAGAGATGATTAAAGGGTAGAAGAAATAAGTGAAGAATTCACAGGAAACATTAACTTGACACCTTAGTGTATTTTAATGTATCTTGGGAAGATCTTTACCAACGTTTGAACCTTTTCTGCTTCTTTCCTTTTTAAAAAAGGAAATACATTACAATGATGTCTCTTTCTTTAAATATGCAACAAAAATTAGATGGTGATAAAATATATAGAAATAAGTTTGGAAAATGCCATAAGACAATAAAAAAATAAAAAGGTTTATAACCTTGGGGCCAAAGAAATAGTGTCATGGTTAAGGTGCTTGTCTTGTAAAATGCTGAACCTGGCACAATCACTCAATCCCTGGCATTTCTACTTCCCCCACTCCAGCACTTCCAAATGCAGACCTGGAAGTCCCTGAGTATTGCCAGGCTCAAGCCTTCTAAGCACTGCTTAGTCTATCTGCTATAAAGGCAGGCTGGGGGGCTGGACAGGAGGGAAACTGAGGACATTGGTGACAGGAAATGTACACTGGTGAAGGCATGGGAACATTGTATGACTGGAACCCAATCATGAACAACTTTCTGGGAAAATAAAAAGTTTGCAGACCAACCCAGGTTTGATCTCTCATATCTCATATCAAACCCAGGTTTGATCTCTGAGCCCCGCCAGGAGTGATCCCTGAGCACAGAAGTAAGCTCTGAACCAATAATGCACCCGCCCAGAATAAGTTTTCAACCAGGTAAAAAAATTTTACTCTAACACTTTGATCGCCACATATGTTTGATTTGAGAGATGAGTTTTGATTCCCAATTGCTAATAATCATAAACATCCTGTGTGAAAACTGGACATTTCCATATGAATTACCTGGTAAAGGGTCTCCAGACTGAGGTTCGCTTGGCCTGTGGAATTAAGGGCTTTGTTGGCAGGTGTTCTGCAAGAATAACACGCAATGGTCACTTGGCTCTTCAGGAAACCCCCCAAGTCTCACGAGATCTCACTTTGGGAGGCACAATACAAAACCTAGTGTCAGTAATTCCTTTTCCCCAAAACCGATTCTGGCGCCCAAGCGTGTTGCCATCCCAGCTAACCATGTCAGGCTACTGACCCCATCCACTCAGGAAATCAGGATGCAGAGTGTGGACTGTTGTAGAGCTGAAGAGTTGCTACCAACACAGGGACAGTAAAGTAAAATACAGCAGCTCTGTGGTTCAGTTCCAAGACCCCCACAGATGCCTAAAACCTGGGACAGTATAAACCCTCTGTAGTTGACTCTTTTTTTCTTTTCTTTCTTTTCTTTTTTTGCTTTTTGGGTCACACCTGGCGATGCACAGTGGTCACTCCTGGCTCTGCACTCTGGAATTACTCCTGGCAGTGCTCAGGGGACCATATGGGATCCTGGGAATTGAACCTGGGTCGGCCGCATGCAAGGCAAATGCCCTACCCACTGTGCTATTGCTCCAGCCCCCTGCAGTTGACTCTTGAGAAACTCAGGGGTCAGGTACCAATCCTCAAGAGCACAAACTCGAAGTCTAACTTAGAGTTGGCCCTCTGAAAATACACCAGTGTTACAGCTGTAGATTGAACAACTGGTATCATCAGTTGGTCCCATTGGAATGCAGAGCCATGGGGAGGCCAAGATCCACATTTAAGTGAATTCATATAGTTTAACATGTTGATGCTGGCACTGCAATTTGTATTCACTAAGTCACATTCTAGTGGGAGCCTCTGGTAGTAGCACCAACATCAATGTGTTAAACCTGCATTATTCAAGGAGCAACTTATAGAATATATTGTTTTTTCTCCTTATACTTATATTTTCCCTTATATGCATATATACCTATAATAAGGTATGATTTAAGAATCACAAAGGGATAAAAACAAACAATAATAAAGCAAGGCACTGTAATAAAAGTTAAGTAACTGTGGTCTATTTAATGTAGATCCTATTTCTGGGTCATCCATGAGTTAAAAGAAAACCATGAAAGGAAACTGCAGATAAGGAAAGTCTCCTATGCAACTAGTCTGCTAGTTGTGGACACAATTACTTACTTGAGAGAACCTTCCAAGTGAGAGTGACAGTGAAAGCCCCCATAGAAGTTGCTTATTTAAAAAGAATGGTGTTTTCATTTCTGAAACATCTGATGCAGAACATCATGGCCTCGCTCTTCCCTTTCCTGTCACACATGGGTGACCAAGGCCCACAAGGCCAGACTGAGTCGTTAGCAAAGCAGGTGGTGGGATTTAGGGCGCCCGGCCCGAGACTTCTGCCCACCTCATCTTCCTAACTCCCAACCCCTGACAAGTGGCTCCCTCCCCACTGCCATACCCCACTTGCCCTTTCCATCCCGGGCACCAGCAAGGGGTGCAGGTTTATTGTGGGGGTAGAGGCCCTTGCAGTCCTCTGAGTCAGGGGAGGGACACTGTCTCCAAAAAAACGCTGCAGAGCTGAGTGTCTAGAGACTGACCTTCGGTCGTCTTCCTTCGGCACAGGATTCCAGTGATCATAGTTCGTCTCCACTCGGAACCACCTACAAGAGACCAAGCCCATCATTTCACCTTTTTTTTTTCTTTTTGGGTCACACCCAGTGATGCACAGGGGTTACTCCTGGCTTTGCACTCGGGAATTACTCCTGGCAGTGCTCAGAGGACCATAGGGATGCTGGGACTCGAACCTGGGTTGGCCGCATGCAAGGCAAACGCCCTACCCGCTGTGCTATTGCTCCAGCCCCAATCATTTCACCTTTTTCTAGGTCACTGGGGACCAAGGAAGAAATGTAGAAAAATGAGAAACATCTTCAGCTTCAACTTCACCAACTCAAAAGAGAGCACTATTACAAGATGATCCCTCTACAAGTATACTTACGCGCCATTTAGAGGATCCAGTGGCCAAATGTCTGCTGGGCCACCTCTGTTCCGTGTGATGACCACTCCCTCGCGGGGGTTCGTGCCCCCCACAATGTAGTAAACATCGGCGATGAGGGGAGTCTTAGCCAGCCTGTAAACAGCGGCCTCAAAGTCTTCTGATTCACTCAGGGTCTGAAGGGAAAGACAGCGCTGTATTAGCGTCCCAGTGCCCAGCAGCTTTAATCCCGAAGGACAGCGGATGGACAGTGAGCTCAAGTCTCATCCCCTGACAGATGAGGCACCCGCTATAATCTTCATTTGAAGGAGGAAACCTCAGTGGGGAGGCAACAGCAACAGATTTCTCTCCTAAAAGGAAAGCTGTGGACAAGTTCTAGGTCCAACTCTCAAAGGGTGCGCGCTTTCTTGGCAGGTCAGCCTCACAAAGAAACCCGCATTTTTTTGTCCATGTGTTCGTTCAACAGGTATTCCATGAAGATCTACTTTATGTGCTGGGCGCTGTGTTGGTGAGGAACAGAGTAATGGCTTGGGGTGGACCCTTGTTCTCCCAGGCTCCCAAGGAAGACAGAAGCGTCGGCAGCCAGCACCCATGACACTGCGCTACGTGTGCCAACACCGGAGGAGACGCTGTGGAAGCTCAGAGCATCCGATGGCCTGGATGATGGGACCCAACCTCAGCCAGGACACCAGCAGAGGCAACCCAGGGAGGGATATGTGAGCTGAAGTCAGAGACCAACAGAAGGTAGAATGAAAGTAGTGAAGGGGTCGAGAGAGAGGACAGATATCGAGCTGCTTGCCTTGCCGGGTGTCAACACTGATTTGATCCCTGGCACAGCATCAGGTCCCATAAACACTAGCAGGAAAGATCCCTGAGCACAAAGCCCTGAGCACCAGATGGGGACATCAGATGTATCCCTCAAACAAACAAACAAAATTTCTGCAGAAGTATGCTTTTTAAGGAGCACTGAATAGGAAGTTTAGGTGATTTGCAAGTTGAGAGTGACTAGATCATTCTAGGTCATTCAGAGTCAGGTGAGGAAGGTTGAATGATGTCGGGGCTGGACAGACAGTCCAATGAGTAGGGCTCTTATCTTGCACATGGCCAACCTGGGTTCAAACCTGACCCTGAATATCACCAGCAGTGATTCCTGGAGCCAGGCATGCGCCCTAAGCACTGCCATGTGTAGTTAAAAAATAAAGGCCATCGACCATAGATCAAGACCAGATTTATGCACCAGGGGTGTGTCCTTGGGATTTGCTTTCTATAATCAAATTATAGTTTACACTTGTGCTAAACTCAGCTGTTTAATTGCTTGTGTGAAGCAAATGTTCCATTTTTATGTATAGAGCTGCTTTTTCAAACATTTACACTTGGGCTAAACTCTGTTGTTTAATTGGTTGTGTGAAGCAGATGCTCCATTTTTGTGCATTGAGCTACTTTTTCAAACATTTGGTTTTCTTGTTTAATAGCTGCAAACAGAAAACCTAAAAGGAGGGCACATCTATATGCAGGAAGCATTAAAAACTCTTATTTTGCCTTGGATTCCAAAACTGAGGTTACCAAGCTAATATGCAATGTTTATATAAGCATTCAGAAAACTTAACAAAAAACCCAATGACCCCATTCAAAAATGGGGAAAGGAATGATCAGATATTTTCTCACAAAGGACAAATGGATGAACAATAGGCATATGAAAAAGTGCTCATCATCACTGTGATTAGGGAACTGCAAATCAAAACAACAATGAGAACATCTCATGCCAGGAAAAATGGTACATATCAAAAAGTCTGGAAACAGCAAGTAATGGTGCGGGGGGGGGGGGACCCTCATCCACTGAGGAAATATGGAGACCTCTCAAAAAAACTCTCGTATGAACAGGCAACACCATTCCTTGGCATTTACCCCAAATCACAAAAACATTAATGGGAAAGGATCTATGCCGACCAATGTTCACCACAGCACTTAGTACAAGAGCCAAGACATGAAAATGACACAAGTGTCGAACTACAGGTAACTGGATCAAGAAGTTGTGGTATATATACATAATGGAATACTCTGCAGCTCTAAAAAAAGGACAAAACCATGCAATTTGCAGTGACATAGATGGAACTAGAGGATATTATGCTGCATGAAGTCAGTCGGAAGGAAAGAGACAGATACAGAATGATCTCGTTCACACATGGGACTTAAAAGATACACAGCTAGGGAACAACAAAGGGCCAGAGGCAATGCTATGGGAGAACTGATGAAAATAATTGAGTTTGTATAGTAAGGGTGGGTACAGAGGGGGTGGGGATGGGTACTCTGGACACTGGGGTTTGGTGTGGTGTTAGAACTATGTACGCAGGAAACCATCATTAACAACGTGTGAATCACAAAAACAGAATTAACAGGGGACTAGAAAAATAGGACAGCTTGGTGAGGCACTTGCCTTACATGCTGCTGACCTGGGTTTGATCCCCAGCACCCCATATGGTTCCCCAAACACAGCCAAGAGACATCCCTAACAGAAGAGCCAGGAGCAAGTCCTGAGCACTGCCAGGGGTAAACCCCAAACAAAACAGAAGAAAAAAGTAGTGTTTGTTGCAGCCAGTACCTGAAAGTCACTCCCATCTGCAGAGGGGCAGAAGCAGAGCCTTGTGAATACATGGTCACTGTGTCCAGACTGCCATGGGCATGCAGTTCACACTGGAAGCCTTCCCATTACAATATCATCCTACCGACCACAAGCTGGCCTGCCACTTTAACGAGTGTCCATTTTCTCCTGCCTGACACCACAGAGCTTGATAGCCATTTTGCAACCTTTAAATGTCTATTCTTTTAAAGTTGTTTCTTACATTAAAAAACATCATCTTGGGGCTGGAGTGATAGCACAGCGGGTAGGGCATTTGCCTTGCATGTGGCCAATCTGGGTTCGATCCCTGGCATCCCATAGGGTCCCTCGAGCACCGCCAGGAGTAATTCCTGAGTGTAGAGTCAGGAGTAACCCCTGAGCATCGCCGGGTGTGACCCAAAAACCAAAAACAAAAAAACCCACAAAAACAAACAAACAAAAAACATCATCTTTAAATTATACAGAGAATCCCAATATGAGCATACAATATAGAAACTGGTATTCGGGTGAGACATGCATTCCGGATACTCACCGTGCGGATAAGCCAGCTCACCGGGCTGTGTCTCTGGAAAAGGGCGGCAATCATATTCTCCCACCACCAGCCTTTGTCTGCCAAGGAAGGAAGGAAAGTTATATTGACAATTATGGCCCAATGCAAGTTTTCATTTATTTATTGCTGATTTGTGGTGGCCACACTTGGTTTACTCTTGGCCCTATGTTCAGGGATCACACCTGTGCTCAGGGGTCCGTATGTAGTACCGGGGTCAAACCCAGGTTTACTGTTCACAAGACAAGTATTCTATCCACTGGACTAGCTCTCTGAACCCCCAAATACAAGCTTAAAAAATTTCCTTAGCCCTTGTTACTCCTCTACAGTACAAGTTGATAGGCAAGAAAGGTAAATTTTTTTTTCAAAGATTAAGACTTAACATTTCACAATAATCATAAAATCATGATAGATATTGTGTGTTCACACACAAAATCAATAAGCATATGTGATCTTCCAGCTTAAAAAAATACAGTCACTCAAGTTTTTAAAGCATAATAGTTTGTGCTTAGAAGCAATATGTTATAATAAATGTTATTATGTTAAATGAAATAATTCTGTTGACATAGGCAAAATTAAATTATGTGTACAAGAGAAGTGATTCATAAATATTGTGAATGCTAAAAAATATTATGAATGCTATAAGAATGTTTATAAGAATTTAAGTTTCATTTTGGTGCATTTTAAAAACACACATTTACATTCTCCCAAATTAATTTTAGTATCTCAAAAATGTCAGTAAAAGATCTATTTCCAAAGAAACATTTTCAGAGAAGAAATATGCATTGAGTATCTACTTGGAGTCTGACTTGGTACAAACTCTTAGAATTGGACATAAATGAAAAGATTCTAGTGTCATAATCAGGAAGATAATACTATACTCATGAACGACGAAGGAGGACTCCTTTTGTGAGAGGCAGAAAAACAGTCTGAGTTACAGACATAGACAGCCTGAGACACAAACAGTTGAGTTATCATGAACATAGCATTCCAGAAAGAAGGCACAAATGTCAGCAAGCCCGAACAGGAGCAAGCATGTTCAGGTGACAGCAAGAGAAAGAACGCCACAGTAGCAGAGAGTGAGAAGGAGACAGACAGGAAGTAGAGGTGGTGATCACAATGAGTTCTGACGTCAGTCAGGTTTGTGATGAGTGAAATGGAAAGCCAATGCAGGTGTAAGAGGAACGATCTTTGCTAGCGGGAGACAGAGAAGACAAGAGCAGTCGGGAGACCAGAGGGGAACCGACAGGGGAAGCCAGGCTGGGGCGATAGTGCTGAGACAGCTTAGGACATAGCGGGAGGAATAAAGAATCCTCTTGGTAGCAACTGGGTGAGTGCAGAAATGATACTCTTTGAGACATGCAGAACCAAAAGAAGAAGAGCGGAGCTGGAGCGATAGCACAGCGGGTAGGGCGTTTGCCTTGCATGCTGCCGACCCAGGTTCAATCCTCAGCATCCCATATGGTCCCCTGAGCACTGCCGGGAGTGATTCCGGAGGAGGAGAAGAAGGAGGAGGAGGAGGAGGAGGAGGAGGAGGAGGAAGAGGAGGAGGAGGAGGAGGAGGAGGAGGAGGAGGAGGAGGAGGAGGAGGAGGAGGAGGAGACGGAGGAGACACGGAAGACAAGGAAGACAAGGAAGAAGAAGAAGGTTTTAGGTGGAGGCAGACCAAAGACATGAAAGGGAAAAAGGAAAACAAGAGATTTTTTCACCAAACTTGAGAAGCACAGCAGATGTCCAAGAGGAGAGGCTGGTGGCCAGATCCAGGGTGGGCAGCAGAGGAGGCCACCCTGGAGAAGGGACAATGACCACAGATACTCCTGCGGTGCCTTCCGGACCCAAAGCCTCTCATGCTCACAGCAGATCCTGTCATCTCGGCTTCCCACATGAAAAAACTGAAGCAGAGGTGGCACGCCATGGGCACCCTGCTAGGGAGTGTCAGCGCCGGGGAATAAACCCGGGAATCCTGGGTCTGAGCACTTTGCACAGCCTCTGCTGCTTCCTGCTTCTCAATCTGGTTGTTCCACTCCAGAATACCGGGCATTATCCCCATGGGCCCAGAGATGTCACCCTGTTCAGAAACTATAACTCAACTTCATTTGTTGCAACTCAACTTGCAGAGACAAGTATAACTAAAAGTAGCCTGTTTTCATTATGCTCAGATTTAGATGTTTTTGAAAGGCAATTTGCAGGGGCCACGGAGATAGCCCAGGAGTCGGCACTCCTGGTCTCCCCGCTGCTGGGGATGGCTCCAGTGGGCCCGAGCACTGAGCCCTCAGGCTGACCATCTCTAGGAATGGTCCTTATGAAATGTAACATAGATATCTAAAGATTTAAAAAGTTGTTCGTGGAGCTGGAGAGATAGCACAGTGGGTAGGGCGTTTGCTTTGCATGCAGTCGACCCAGGTTTGATACCCAGCATCCCATATGGTTCCCCAAGCACCTCCAGGAGTAATTCCTGAGTGCAGACCTGGGAGTAACCCCTGTGCATCGCTGGGTGTGACCCAAAATGAAAAAAAAAAAGCCGTTTGTTAGTGGGGTAGGTGGTTCAATAGTCACACACACTCATCTCACACATATGAAGCCCTGGGTTTGAGATTTCTAGCATGGCAGGAAAAAAGGGGAAACAGGGCAATATCGAATTAGTGTAATTAAATATTATTACAGGATAACTCAATTATTTTCAAATTGCTCATTTCTTAGGTTCTGCTAATCAGAGTGCTAAGCAATTTGAGTTGCAAAACTATGGGGGGAAATGCCCAGCTTGGAATAAACACGTTACACTCTCTGTTAAACCTCAGTAATTGCCATGCCATGGTTAGGGTACATTGATTAGAGAACCAACCTCACTCACAGCTGCCATTCGAGGAGCTGTTGAAGAAATACCTTCGGATAAATAACCTTTCGCTATGGAAACCTATACACACACAACCTGCCACTTCCTGGGAAAGTCTTATGTAGAACGGTAAGAATGAGCCAAAGAAAACAAAAGCAACATGAAGCTAATAGCAGTTCATGAGAGATCGACATTCATCTTCAAGCTATTCCTTATCTTCTTCCTTAACTCAGAGGTTAAGTTCCTGAAGTCAGAGATCTCAGGATTTACCACAAACTGTGGAACTGAATGCTGTCCCCTGCCATCTGGGGAATGGCACAATACACAGGCAAGCCAGGACTCAGAAGAGCAATTTGAGACCTGCCTCTCCCCTCCTCCTAGCAAGCACTTTATCTGCCAGCCTGTTTCCTCCTCTGCAGAATGAACAGGATTAATAACTCTACTTACCCAACAGGATTGCAAGGGTCTGGTGAGAAAACTCAGGAGGAAGTGTGTAGTGAACTCGCAAACACTTGCAGCTATTGCCTCTACAATGGCATTCTAGAGCCTCTAGATTATGGCACTGTCTTCCTGATACTTTCGTTTGCCCTTAACCCAAAATATAGCTGAAAATATAAATATTTAGCTGAAAATATAAATATTTAGCTGAAAATATAAATCAGGGGCCAGAGAGATAGTTCTGGAGGTGAGGCACTTGCCTTACTGGCCGCTGCAGTGGCAGCGACCCTGTGATCATTCCCGGGATCCATGTATGATTCCTTGAACACAGTCAGGAGGCCACACTTGAGCACAGAGCCAGGAACAGCCCCAGAGCAGCACTGGGTGTGGCCCCCAGCACCCCCCACATACATACACATAGATGATGTGTTTATCCCTGGCTGAAAATTTTCCTGACACTTCCTTTATGCATCACATTCACATTCTTCATTGTGCCCTTCACCATGGCCTCTCTATCTTCAGTATCACAACCTTCTTCCCCACAAAGCCACTGTGTTACCATCTTTCATTTTGCAACGGATTTCCCCAGCCTCTGTAGCCCTGAGTCATGGGTCACGGCAGTGAGTCTTTGCCAACTCCCCACTCTCCCCCTCCCTCCTCTTCCCTTCTCTACAGCACATTCCTAGGACACCCTAGGACATCTCTGAGGATGGCCACTATCCGGGAGCATCTTCTTGGCTAGCATGTCCCTGCCTGCCTGTACCGCAATCGAAGCCCTGATCATGAAGAATATCAAGGACACTGCCAAATTCCAAATTCTTTCTCCAATTATTTGGAGAAACCTGAAGAAGAACAGATATGGTCAAACATGCTTAGGAGTCCATTTTTTTGATTACCTCGTTCATCGCCAGAAATTGTAAACTTGTGTGGACTCTGCCCGGTCCATAATCCTATGTAGCCAATGAAAGTAGTTCCCGTGAATGCAACCTGCAATCAGGAGATAAGGCACTGTTTTACTGTTTCAACCAAAATCACATTAAATTTTTGTTGGTGACTCTTGTAGGTAATGTAGAAATTTTTATGTATAGAATGGTGGTTGCATATATCCGGAAACAGGGTATGGACTTAACACTGTGACATCATGGTAATTAGATCACTGCTAAACTTCCCTATTTTAATAGGGGCCAGAGAGATGGTACAGGGGTTAAGGTGCTTGCCTTGCATGGGACTGAGCCTGGTTTGACCCAATTTTTTGGCAAAAATTTTGTAAAATCAGATGACAATAAGAGAAATGATGAATAATATCAGACAAGCATGACATAAGATGAGGCCCTGACCTTGATTGCCAGTAGCTAAGGTGCTACAGAGTACTGCCAAGTGTGGTGCCTATCTGACAAAAATTTAAAAATCAGGTTACTAAAAGTAGTAAAAACTTTTCATTAGTTTTGTGACTTAGTATCAATGCAAAGGACAGAGTATGTCCTTACACAAAGTACCCCCAAATCAAATCATTTGCATTCTCTGTTAATAATACTCATGTACTTAGTGAACATTGACTAAGGTTATTTTTCTAAACATTTACATAGAAATGTGACAACAGCACATACACTTTTAAGGGGATTGGGCCACACCCTGTGGTACTCAAGGGCTACTCCTGGCTCTGTAGTCAGGCATTGCTCCCTACAGTGCTCAAGAAGAGTCTATGTGATACCAGAGATTGAAACCCTGATTTCACACATGCAAAGCATACACTTAGCCCAGTGCACTACCTCTCTGTCCCTAGTATAATGTTTTGAATATCAGACATAGGAGGTGTGTGACAATCACAACTGTAAAGCAAACTGAATATTTGGACACCACTGGGGATTTGTCACATACCTTACATGAATTATTTAACCTTTTTTTTTCTTTTTGGGTTGTGATGCACAGGGGTTTCTCCTGGCTCTGCACTCAGGAATTACTCCTGGCGGTGCTCGGGGGACCCTATGGGATGCTGGGAATCGAACCCGGGTTGGCCGTGTGCAAGACAAATGCCCTATTAGCTGTGCTATCGCTCTCGCTCTGGCCCCGAATTATTTAACCTTTAGAACTATCTCCATATCTAATCATTTCACTTTTACAACTATCTCTATAAAACTGTACCCACAAAGAAATTATTAACCTCTCAGAGCTGTGGTTTGCAAAACAGATTTCAATTATTTCCAAGTTCTGAAATAAAGTGACAGAAGTTAAGATTTAAACCCGGATGGTTAGGCCCAAAGTTGGCATTTCTATCCATTACATATCCTATTCCAGAACATGAGAAAACAGAGGAAAAGTCTGACTCACGGAGCAAGTGAATAACTGATCACACACTTGTGGAAATTTCCCTACAGAATACTGTTTGATGATGCTTCTTTCTATACATGATTGATTATAAATTTCTGATTTTGTTTTTACAGGAATTGAATTTTTGTTGTTGTATCTTAAGTGCAGACAATACCAATCATGGGTAACTTGGTTAGCAAGTTTCTTTGATTTTTGAATCTTACAAATCCTACACTATGTGGACTATACCTTCCCATTCTTTATAAATTGCACATCCAAGGTCATGTTGCGTAAGATATCTCCAAAAGGATAATCCAAATTTCGGCCATGGTAAATGTGACCTTTGGAGTCTTGAGCCACTATACTGGTGCAGAATCTGAAAAGGGGAAAAACACAGCATGAATAAACAAAAAAAATTTTAAGAAAATTGAGTTTCTATTTTTAATGAAGTCTTTAAAGTAATTCAACTTCACCTTCACTACATATTTTTTTTAAAAAAAATGGTTCCTCCTCCTTATAATAGACACATCAGCTATGTGATCTATTTTTTTCTTTTTGGGTCATACTTGGTTATACTCATGGGTTACTCCTGTATCTGCACTAAGGAATTACTCCTGGCAGGCTTGGGAAACCATAAGGGATGCTGGGGATCGAACCTGGGTTGACCACAGGCAAAGCAAACGCCCTATCTACTGTACTATCACTCCAACCCCCAGCTATATAACCTTTAAGTAAGAATATGGATTCACAATTCAAGATGCAAATTCAACAAGACACAGTCCTTCTGTGTTTGCTCAGTGCTACTAATGCTTGGCCTAAGTCCACACAGCATCATAAACACACTAAACGAGAATGAGTGTGAGTGTCATTCTGAAATGGTGTCATTGTTGGCTTAACGAAACCTCTGGTCTTGGCTTGTTCATCTCTTGGCAGCGTACAGCCTATTTAATCCATGATTAAAAGTTAAGTCAAGCTCACCTCCCTTTTCTAGGAATTTCTTAGCACAAGTAAGTATTAAACCATTCTGATTCAAAAACATTCCATTTGTCTCCTTGGGAAAATTCCTTGTCTCTTCAGGGGTTACTCTTGGGAAGCCGGGGATAGAACCCAGCTCAACTGCATGCAAGGAAAGTGCCTTACCTATTGTATTATCTCTCTGGCCCCCAAATGGGCAACTCTTTAGAGGCATGGCACCTTCCCCTTTAGAACTTCCATCACAGAACAGATGAGAGAAAGAATCTGTCATGAACTCCCATATAGTAGCTGAGTGAGAAACTGTACATATGAAACTTGTACCATGTTGGACTACTGGGAGATTTTTAAAGGACATGTCCATATGCTCTAAAAGTAGGTGATGCTGCATAAAAAGCTATATACAAACATCACATTAATTTCTAGGAGAGAGGCAAGAAGATCTGTATAGCCACAAACAGGACTGAGAGGGCTAGGCCCCTAAAAAATGATCATTTCTACAGGGTTGGAGAGGTAGTACAGTGGGCAGAGCGCTTGCCTTGCACACAGCCAGCCTTGGTTCAATCCCTTGCACCGCACATGGTTCCCTGAGCACCACCAAGAGTGAACCCTTAGTGGTTTTCTTAGTACTTTTCTTTGTATTTTACTTTTATAATCAGGAGGGAAACAAATTGACATAATTTTTTTTCTTGCAGCAAGGAAGCTTGTTCAGGTTTTAATTTTTTCCCAAGGTCTCTGACCTTCAAAAGAATTGCTGCCAAGGAAAAGACTGGCAAAATATTAGAAGAAGGTACAGCAAAATTTGCAGACTCTCTCTCAAGGACTTCTAGATTTGGCAAGACAATGATTCTTCTATGTCGTGACCCAAAGTTGGAGGCCTCAGTGGTCTCTAATTTCTTCAGCTGTGGGGTGCAGAAACAAATGTGGGGAATCGGGAAAAGTTTGGCAACAGTAAATGTTTCTGAACATGGTTTGTGAATATGCAATGCCGAAAGATGAAATCAAATTCAGATGCATGTGTATTGCATTTTTCTTGTTGCATTTCTCAGGAAAAGCAGTCACGAGTGAAAAAAGTTTAAGAAACCCCGAAAAAGTGTACAAGCAGGGGAAGTTGGACCCAGGCAGGCTCTGTTCTGCGAAAAATACTGAAGCCCGGGCCCAGACTCATGCTTTTAGCAGTGACCACAAGTTCCCCATCAGACCCACTGAGGCTCGGTTCCTATATCTCTCCAGGCTACACCCTCTCTGTAGCCAGGAAACCAGTAAGCTCAATAAAGGGTAGCTAGTTCTAGTCTGATTCCAAAAGTTTTACATCAGCAATGAGAATGAAACATTTCTCTCTTTGTTTTTTAATGCTAAGAGAGTCTCAGGATGCCTTCTGTTGTCAGGCAATTCAAAATAGACCTTGATATTAAATCAAAGGAATGTTTTTCCCGACAATGTTTGTTCTAATCGGCTTCAATATGGTGACATTAACGAAAGAAGGCCAAGAAGGGAAATGAGAACTACCTCTCCCCTTGAGAAAGAAGCCTGCTGAAATAGGAAAAAGGTGGAGTCAGCCACTGTGAAACCCCAAAATTGGAGTCAGAGAGATAGTACAGTATGCAGGGAGCTTGCCTTGGATGTAGCCAATCTGGGTTTGAGCCCCAGCACCCTATATGGTCCCCCTGTGTCCACCAGGAGTGATTCCTGAGAACAGAGCCAGGAGTAGGCCCTGAGCACTGCCGGGGGGGGGGGGCAAAATAAAAACAAGAGCCAAAGAACCAAAATTAAACTAGATCACTTGGAAATACACTTCAGTGTAACACGTTCATGCCTGCCTGGGTTTGAGCCCTGACAAGACGCAAACAAAAGTTAAAAAACAAAACCAAGTCTTTTCCTAAGGAAGGAGGCAGATACCTTTCCCAGGTGTTCATAGTAAGATGCCAGGGAAAAGCAAAGTTTCTATCAAGAATTTTTTTTTTTTAAATCATCCTTGGCAGCCGGAAGCTTTACACATGTACAAGCTGTTACTTGCCAATGCTGATCTGGTATAAAATCCTAAGGGCAGGCACCAAATCAGAGGCCGGAATTCCAGCACCTGGTAGTGCGCCAATACACACACTCGAAGCTCTCCCTGTTTGAAGTTCTCCCTGTGCTTGGCCTGGGCTCAACTTCATACACTTGCGTACTCACATTTTATCACGCCCTCTTGGAGTACCAAGTACTATTAGCCAGAACAGAGCTCCTTGGGCCCATGGTCTTGGAGGGAACAGATTCAGACCCCCCTAGCAACGACCAAACAGAGAGCATTAATGCAGGGGCCCTGCTAAGGCTGGAGGGTCCAGAAGAGAGGAATGATTTTATTTTTATTTTTTAACTCCCGGGCGGTGCCAGGAGGACAGCACAGTGGGTAAGCTTTCTGCCTTCTTGCACCCAGAGTTCCATCCCTGGCATCACATACGATCCCCTCAGACAGAGCCAGGAGTAATCCCTGAGAACGGCAGGGTGTGCCCCCATCCCCAAACCAAAACCAAACACGGAACCCTGCCATGCACAATCCTGTCAATCACAGTGTTTGAAATAAAATAAAGCCCGAGAAGAAACTGCCCAGCAGAGTTCGGGAAACAGCTGGGAAGGAGGGCAGATGGCGAGGTTTGAGAGGCCAACGTCAGTGCTGTGCTCTGGGAAGGGGGGGGCGCGCTCCTATCTGCAGGTGGGTGTGCGCTGCTCAAGTTAACCCAGAGAGGCAACACCCATCTCCGGTCCTTAACCATCCGGAACCCGCGCCTCCCTTCACCCAGATCCGCGGCGCTGCCCGGGAAGGCCAGAGCCGGCCACTCACGCCGAGGACTCGTAGGCCAGGTTGACCAGCAGGCAGTCCGCCAGGCTGAAGTTCAGGAAGTCGCACATGCCGCGGGTCTCGTCGATGAACTGCGGGGGCAGGAAGCGCTCCAGCTCCCCAACCCCCTTCTGGATCACGGTGTGGACCCACTTGGGCACGGTCTCCCTAGGAACAGAAAAAAAAAAAGCCACGAGAGTGTCAGATGAAGCTGGAAGGGGTGCAGGGGTGCGGTCTGCGGGGTGACGGTGCGGTTCCTCAGGAGCACATGGTAGGGGCCCCTCTTTTGGAGGATGCTGCCAGTTCGGCCCCGCGGTCCCCCATCCGTAGCGTGCAGGAGGCAAAGTGAAAACTAGCACGCGGCGGGCTGCAGTTCAAAGCCCCGGGATTCCCCCAGGGGCGGATTGGGAGCCCTGCCAAGAGGGCATGGGCTGCCGCGGGGCGCTCCACCCTGCCCGGGAATGCCCGGAGGATGGCCGTGACCACCGCTGGCTGCAAACTGGACAGTAGAGCCAAGCGCGCGCGCTCAACGCTGCACCGACGCCAGTTCGGGTCCCCAGCAGCTCCCCGGGGCTGCGCAGGGCTGCGGTGCAGGGCAAGGTTGCGGGGTGCAGGGCCAGGTCGCGAGGTGAAGGGGTCGGGGAAGGGGGCGGGGACGGAGCTGCGGCGCGGGTCCAGCACGCAGGCCGGCGCGCTCCTGAGCTGGGTGCCGCGCTCGGTCCCCGACCCCTGGGGGTGGTGGTGGCGGTGGTGGGGTCCCCCCTCCTGTGCGCTCACCCCACGACGTGCGCCATCGCCGAGCGCAGGAAGTCCAAGTCGTAGCGCCGCAGCACGGGCAGCCAGCGCTGCGCGGGGGGCACGTCCAGGCTGACGTTGAAGAGCGGCGGGGCTGCGGGCACCTCGACCGCCCCCCGCGCTCCGACCAGCAGCAGCGGCAGCAGCAGCAGCAGCTTCGCCATCACCCTGTGCGCGCGCGCGGCGGCCCGCGGGTGGCACAGCCGCGACGCCAAGGAGGCGGGGGAGGAGGAGCCGGGGCGGGGCGTGTGCGGGGCCAACCCCACCCGGGTCGCCCGGGACCGACCCGCCTCCGGGTCCCCGTGGGCAGCAGCTGCGGGTCCCGCGGGCATGCACTGGGCCTCCCCCCCTCCCCCAACTTCTCCACCCGGTTGGCCCCGTCCACCCGCGCCGGGTGCAGAGTGTCAACTGCGGCTAGAAAGTGACATTTCAGTGACCCGGTGCAAGCACCGGCGTCCTGCAGGGACACTGTAGCACTGTAGCACTGTCCTCCCGTTGTTCCTCGATTTGCTGGAGCGGGCACCAGTAACGTCTCCTTTGTGAGACTTGTGACTTGTTTTTGGCATATCAAATTCTCCACGGGGAGCTTGCCAGGCTCTGCCGCGCAGGCAGGATACTTTCAGTAGCTTGACCGGCTCTCTGAGAGGGACGAGGAATCGAACCCCGGGGTAGGCTGTGTGCAAGGCAAACGTCCTGCCCGCTGTGCTTTCCTCTCCCTGCGCCTCTCTGAGGAGTGTAAATCCCACCCCCCCTCCCCCAAAGCAACACCCTTAACTGCAGTGCCTTACGGGAGCTCTTCTGCCCAACACGCCCACCTCTTCTCGGTTTAAAAAACAAAACACGTGCCAAGCATTTTTGGCTAACTCAACTCAGCAAGACCAAAGTTCAGTTCTGCTGACTCCTCTCTGCTGGCTACTGAAACAGTTTGCCCGGGGCCAGCCCCTCTGGGGAGCCTCTGAAACTTGCCCCTCAGCTCCGCCAATAGAATCCAGCTTTCGAATCAGTAAGCTCAATCTTCAACCTTAACCCCTTTTTGCCTTCCCACTAAGAGAACTTTTGAGGCAAGTTACTTGACATAAGGCTGGTACAAGTGTTCCAGCCCTTTGGGCCATCTCGCTGTCTTCTTTCCAACTGTTTTGAATAGCCCCGCGGGTCACTGGGTTAAAACTTCAAACCGCAGTCCTCACTTCTGCCTGGTCCTTTCCTAAAATCCAATCTGCTCCTTCGCAAAGCTTGACTAATAGCCTACTAAAACCACTGGTGTACTGAAAAAGGGAACAAAACAATTAGATCTCAAAGAGGTGCCTGCCCCAAAAGGAGAGAGAGAGAGAACAAAAGGGCAGGGTGGGATGGGGAGATGGAGTGTGGGAGGGATACTGTGATCTGTGGTGGTGGGAAATGGGCACCGGTGGAGGGACAGGTATTTGACCGTTGTATAATTGAAACCCAAGCACAAAAATTTTTGTAAGTCTACAACTGTACCTCATGGTGTCTCACTAATAAAAATTAAAAAAAAAATTTAAAAATCTGGGGGAAAAAAAAGAGGTGCTTGCATTAACATAGAATTTTGAAGAAAGATTTCTAATCACTTCAAGATGCAAATTCAAGGCAAATGCAGGATTTTAAAAACCACTGAGATAACGTGATTAACTCAACAGGATGGCATAAGAAAGATATGCACAGTCTGAGCCAAATATAATTTTATACATAAGGTTCAATTCCTTCGCTCCTCTTGGAGAGTCCGGCAAGCTACTGAGAGTATCTCACCGGCACGGTAAAGACTGGCAAGCTCCCCATGTCATATTCGATATGCCAAACACTGTAACAAGTCTCACAATGGAGACGTTACTGGGCCCACTCGAGCAAATCGATGAACAATGGGAGGACAGTGGACAGTAGAAACTTTATATATATAATTTTATGTATAATCTATTCCTTTATCATGAAAGGTTATAAATTTTATAGGATGGCTCAAAACAAAAACAGAAGATTTTTTGTTATATTTGAGAATTCTTCTCAAAACTGAAGAATTACAAAATGGAACCCTCTTCTCTCTGCTCTGCCTATTGTTGTGCGGATCTCAGAGATACCTGAATTTCTATGAGTAAGAAATTGAAGTTTCAAATAATTCTGGAGTCAGAGAGCTAATGGCAGGCAGGAGGATATGATATACATGCACAAAGTTCTGAGTGCTGGCACTGATTAAGGTCTACGGAGCACCTCTATGAGTGACCTCTGAGCACTCAGCCAGGAATTGAGCCTGAGCATCTCTGGGTATGGACCAAAGACCAGGCTTTTTACTACAAAAGCAATTAGAGACTCCCCCACCTCAAAACACCTTAAGCACTCCAAAAGCCCAACAACAAAGAAAGTGAAGCTATGCACATATTTTCCCCCAAAAAGTCATGCATTGTCAATAGGCGTTAAAATATTCCTGGTTATCAAGGAAATGCAATTCAACATGACAATGAGATACCACCGCACAGTGACAGTGGCATCTACGGAAAAAAACTGGAAACAGTGCTGGGGAGGATGTGGTAAAAAAAGGAACTCCAGGGGTTGGAGCGATAGCACAGCGGGTAGGGTTGCACGCGGCCAACCTGGGTTCCATCCCCGGCATCCCATATGGTCCCCCAAGCACCGCCAGGAGTGATTCCTGAGTGCAGAGCCAGGAATAAACCCTGAGCATTGCTTGTGAGTCAAAAAGCAAAAAATAAATAAAAGGAACTCCATCTAATGGGATCAGATAGAAATGGTAAGACAGAATTAAAACAAAAAAAGAGTTCGTCAACACGGTAACTTTATTAGTCTCCCTGACACAGAAGTCCAGAGCAAGGTGAAGCCACAGCAGAACCAACAGGTTGGGTGGAGCTGGGAGGTCAAGGGGAGATTTCCAGGCACTATTATAATTCAAGAAACAAAGCTTAGGACCTCAGCCATTGTTACATTCTGAATTTCACCTCTCTAGACCCACAGGCAGGGGGAGACACCCAGTTAAAAACTGGGAAAGGAAGGGAGCAGTTTGGGGTTTGAAGTGCTCAGATTCGCTCTTCTGGCACTTTCTGTGAGCACCGTGAGGGTTACCTCCAACAATTCATCACATTAGGCCAGTGAGACAAGATGCACTGTGAGGATATGTTAATCAATCATATATGCAAGAGTGAGTCGGTGATGATACACCCTGCTGTTGATGTGTCTAGCATGCAATCTCCAGTTCTTAACAATTGACAGAATTACACGGCATCTCGGAGGGTCGGAGAGATAGTACAGCGGGCAGGGTGCTCACCTTACAGGCATCCCATTTCATCTCCGTGCCCCGCCAGGAGGAATTCCTGAGTGCAGAGCCAGGAGTAATCCCTGAGCATCATCTGGTGTGCCTTCTCTAGCCCAACGACAAAAAACAAAAACAAAAACCAAAAAACCACTACGGGGCATCTTGGAGAAAGACAAAGTTTTATTACAGTAAAACTGAAGTTGAACTCATGAATAGGAGTAAAAACTATTTTACTTAAGTGTATTTAGAAATTGCTTCCTAACACAGAGTGGGTGAAAGTTGCCTTTTACTCGTGATTTTTGTCATCTATCATAAAACATCTTAGAAATAGGATACGAGAGGCATCAAACTATTTCCAAATGCAAAAACTTGCTAAAAAAAGAGAAAGTGGCCCAGCTCTTGTAAATCTATTTCCCTACATACAACTCTCAACACTCACAAGAAACACTGCTCTAAATAAATTTATTTTGGGGTTTTGGACTGTACCCGGCTGTGCTAGATCAGGGTTTACTTCTGACACTGTGCCTTGGGGGTCACTTCTGATAGTGCTGGGGGACTATACTTAATGACAGCAATTGAACCTGGGCGGCCCACTGCAAGCCAGGCAAAAGCCTTGCCTGCATTATCCCTCCGGCCCTCGAAAGAGAGTGTTGTGACATGAAATGCCTTTTCCAGGCCAGAGAGAGACTCAGTGTGCAGAGCATATGCTTTGCATATTAGAGGCCCAAGGTTGGTAGTGGAAACCACATGGTCATCCAGCCCTGAAAGGAGTGTTCTCAAGCACTGAACTGGGAGTATCCTCAGTAAACTGCTGAGTGCAGTAACACCCGGGGGAGGACACCCTCCCCTCAAAAACTGAAACTACTAAAGGCGGCAGGTCAAGAAAATCAAGTCCAGGTTTTTCTCCTCAATGGAAGAAAGGGCAGTCAATGATGAACTGAAGACACTCCACTATTGCTATTTACACTTAAGGCAATTCAAAAACTGAGGTCTTAACTGCAGAACTGTACAAGGCATTTGAAAATATTAAAATCTTCAGGGTAGACTAACAAGCTCAAATGTCTACCCAAATCTATACAGCAGGGACCTTGTTTTTAGCAGGTAAGTTATTTATAAGAATCTTACTCTCATACATTGTTCTGTTTGGGTTTAAGAGAATATATAACTCCTGCCCCCTGCAGTGAACCCACAAGTTCCACATTCCCATAGAAGCATGGACCTGTCACCAAGAAAGAACTATGTAAAACATAGACACATAGACAAGACACACACAAAGACACACACACACGAGTAAGGGGTCAGAGCTCATTTTTCTCTCTTCAGTGATGATGTGAAGGCACTCCATTTTTTCCTCCAGGAAGGTTAGAGGAAAATGATTTTACATCACCACTACCTTCCCATTTCAAATACTCCCACCATCACTCAGGTTCAAAATAAAAGCATCAAAATGCTTCCAAGTCTTCTAGGGTTTTCACAGTATGGTGCTTTTGGAGTTTTTTTAATGGAAACAAACATTCTTGATTTGCTAATTTTCAGAGTAATGGCACATAATGTAGCCTTCCCCTTGGAATGGAAAAGTTAGTTGGAAATTACTTCATTCTTTTTCTCTTCTTCAAAAGTGCATCACGTAGTGCCAGCTGAAAGATAAGAAAAAAAAAATCAAAACCTGGTAACTTTGGGGAACTCTACCCGTACTACTTATTGGGTCATCCGGAAGTGGAGCAAACTGGAATCTCTAAGCCAGCAAATCTCAGAGAAGCACAGATAGTGAAACACTCTCAATAACAGCTGACTGTCTGCACACCACTAAACCTGTCTCCATGTGACAGGAACCAGGCAAAGTTTTTGACCAACTGTTCCCACCTTAAAAACAAAACTTCACATCAGGAGTTGCTGCAGCATGCACACGGAGATGGCACTGTTTTTGCAA